AATGTAATATACTATATTACTATAATAAGGGCCAAAAGCATGTGATCATATCAATAAGCACAGATGCAACATCTAATGAAATTCAACATCCTTTTATCATGACAAACAACACTCAAACTAGTACTGCAAGGAAATTTTCTCAACTAGAGTATCCACAAAGCCCCCACAGCTAGTATCTTATTTTGTGATGAAAGACTGAAGCCCCACCCCCCAGCATTCTTGAGTAAGACAAGGATGTCTGCTCTCACCCCCTTTAGTCAACATTTTACTGGAGACTCTAGACAAGGGAATAAAGCAAGAAAGGAGGTTAAACATAATGTTTTTCTTTTCTTCTTTTTTTTTGTATTTTAGGGAAGGGTCTACAAGGTGTGCAGGGTCTCACTACTAGATCAGACTCAGTGATCCGCCTGTTTACAGCCTCCCAAGAGCTGGGATTACAGACCCGCACCAACATGCCCAGTCTCAATTGCCTTCTCTGTGCCCCGGGGGTAGGGCAGGAACTGCAGGACTGGAGATGGAACGTTGGCCCTTGCGCCTACTTGCAGATGCTTTAATCTGTTGAGCTATTTGGCTGGCCCAGTTAAACATATTAAGATCACAAGAGACATATATATTTACCTCTATTTACAGATGATATAAGCTCACACATACCAAGAAATTACCAAAAAATATAAACATAACAAACAGATTTACCAAAGCTGTAGAATACAAAAATTAATGTAAAAATCTACATATTTCTATGTATTAGCAATAAATAATCCAAAAATGAAATTAAGAAAAGAATATGATTTCTGAAGACATCAAAAAGAATACAATATTAATAAAATTAGTGAAAGAATCTCAAGACTTATAACCTAAAATCTACAAAAAATTTTAAATATTAAGAACCAAATCTAGGATCTTCACACTGAACTACAACCCTAGCCCTTTGTACAATGCTTAAGATTTTGGGACAGGGCCTCATTAAGTTGGTAAATTGGTAAGGCTTGGCTTGAACTCAAAATCTTTCTGCCTCAGCCTCCCATACTGCTTGAATTATAAGCATGTATTATTACTGCTGCAGGCTTACAAAAAAATTTTTGGGGTTGAAGGGATTGAACTCAGGACCTTGTGCTTGCCAGGTAGGTACTTATGCTGCTGAGCTACCTCCCCGGCCCTATACGAAATATTTCTAACAGAAATTAAAGGAGGCTCACATATTTGAAAACTCATGCTACATACTCATGTAATGAAAATGTCTTTTAAATTTAATATCAAAATTGTCATATAAATTTAATACAATCCCCATCAAATTGCAGTTAGCTTTTTAAAAGATTTTATAAGATAAAATGCATATGAAGTTCCAAGGGATCCGGAACAGATAAAATGAACTTTGAGAGAGAAAAACATTAGAATTCACACATCCTAATTTCAAAACTTACTATAATGCCACAGGAATCAAGACTGTGGCATAAAGCATAAAGACAGATATATAGTTCAATCTCAATACCATCGAGATTCCAGAAATAAACTTCTGTATTTATTGTCAATTGACTTTCAACATGGATGCCAAAACAATTTAATGGGGAAAGCAAACCATTTTCAACAAAGATACAGGGACATCTGGATATTCATATGAAAAAAATGAAATTAGGCCTCTCCTTCACATCAGACACACAAAATACCAACTAAAAAATGGGTCCAATTGACGAATGTAAGAGATTAAATTTAAAACCCTTAGACAGATCACTACAAGTCTGAGCTGCATAGTAAGACCTTGTACCAAATATATAAAAAACAAATAAATAAAAAATAAAGCCCTTAGACAAAAACATAGATAAATCCATATGCCCTCAGATATGGCAATAGATTTGTATACACAACACCAAAGCCCAAGATATAAAAGAGAAAATTAACAAATCGAGCTTTGTGAAAATTAAAAACTTCTTTAAACTGTTGCAGGAAAAACTGAGTCAATATTAGTCAGGAGCTGAGGAGAAGAAAGGAAATTTTGCTGATGCTAGTGGACATCAGAGGAGTAATCATGTGAGGTGGTGATTACAGAGAGCTTGTCTCATATCTAGGGTGATAGAGAGAAGTTAGAAGAATGTGATAAGCTTTTAGATGAAGGTTATGATACAATGGGTATCTTCTGGTGAGCAGAGTTGTATGCAGTGAAGTTGTTTTTAGCACATTCATGGAAGTTTGGGTTTTTTTTTTCTGTATTTAGGGAAGGGTCTACAAGGTCTACATGATTACAGTACTAGATCAGACTCATAGCGATCTGCCTGTTTACAGCATCCCAAAGTGCTGGGGTTAAAAGCGTGTACCACCACACCCAGTCTCAATTGTGCGTCCTGGAGGAGGGGCCGGCAGGGCACACCAGGGATCGAACCCGGCTACTGAACTCTGCCTAAGCAGGAGCTTTAGTCTGCTGTGCTATCAGGCCAGCCCTAGAAGTTTCAATTTGATGATGAATCATATGATTTAGCTGAGTTCAGGGGCTGAGAATACAATGACTGCAGCTCTATTGAACAAAATGGCCAGGATTTCTGCTTCAAAAGGATACTATCAAGAAACTGAAAATAGAGGCTTGGATCAGTAAAAAGCTACAGACAGCCAGCAATGAGTCATATAAGGACCCCACAAACATCCAGAGCAAGCACCAGAAACACCAGGCCTTCGAAGCTGACCTGCATGCCAATGCTGACTGCATCCGCGGGGTCATCGACACGGGCAACTCCCTCATCGAGCGGGGCGCCTGTGCTGGCAGCAAGGATGCCGTGAAGGCCTGCCTGGCTGCCCTCACTGACCAGTGGTAGTTCCTGGTGCAGAAGTCAGCTGAGAAAAGCCAGAAACTGAAGGAGGCCAACAAGCAACAGAACTTCAACACAGGCATCAAGGACTTCAACTTCTGGCTCTCTGAGGTGGAGGCCCTTCTGGCATCAGAAGACTACGGCAAGGATCTGGCCTCTGTGAACAACCTGCTGAAGAAGCACTAGCTGCTGGAGGCAGACATCTCAGCCCATGAGGATTGCTTAATGGACCTGAACAGCCAGGCAAACAGCCTGATGACCAGCAGTGCCTTTGACACCTCCCAAGTGAAGGACAAGAGGGACACCATCAATGGTCACTTCCAGAAGATTAAAAGCATGGCAGCATCCCAGCGCGCCCAGCTGAGTGAGTCCCACCGCCTGCACCAGTTCTTCTGGGACATGGATGACAAGGAGTCGTGGATCAAGGAGAAGAAGCTGCTGGTCAGCTCCAAGGACTATGGCCGTGACCTCACTGGTGTGCAGAACCTGAGAAAGAAGCACAAGCGGCTAGTGGCGGAGTTGGCTGCACATGAGCCAGCCATTCAGGGCATCCTTGACACTGGCAAGAAGCTGTCTGATGACAATTCCATTGGGCAGGAGGAGATCCAGCAGCGCCTGACCCAATTCGTAGAGCACTGGCAGGAGCTGAAGCAGTTGGTGGCTGTGCGGGGTCAGCAACTAGAAGAGTCCTTGGAGTATCAGCAGTTTGTAGCCAATGTGGAGGAGGAAGAAGCGTGGATCAATGAGAAGATGACACTGGTGGCCAGTGAAGATTATGGAGACACTCTTACTGCCATCCAGGGCTTACTGAAAAAACACGAGGCCTTTGAGACAGACTTCACTGTGCATAAGGACCACGTGAATGACATCTGCACCAATGGACAGGATCTCATTAAGAAGAACAATCACCATGAGGAGAACATCTCCTCGAAGATGAAGTCCTTGAATGGGAAGGTGTCTGACCTGGAGAAGGCCGCAGCCCAAAGGAAGGCAAACATGTTTGCCTATTTTCAGTTTCTTGATAGTATCCTTTTGAAGCAGAAATCCTGGCCATTTTGTTCAATAGAGCTGCAGTCATTGTATTCTCAGCCCCTGAACTCAGCTAAATCATATGATTCATCATCGGCCTTCCTTCAGTTCAACTGGAAAGTGAATATGGTGGAGTCCTGGATCGGTGAAAAGGAAAACAGCTTAAAGATAGATGACTATGGCCGAGACCTGTCCTCCGTCCAGACCCTCCTCACCAAGCAGGAGACCTTTGATGCTGGCCTGCAGGACTTCCAGCAGGAGGGCATCGCCAACATCACTGCCCTCAAAGACCAGCTGCTGGGCACCAAGCATGTCCAGTCAAAGGCCATCGAGGCCTGGCACGCCTCACTTATGAAGTGGTGGAGCCAGCTTCTGGTCAACTCAGCCACCAGGAAGAAGCTGCTGGAGGCCCAGAGCCATTTCTGTAAAGTGAAGGACCTCTTCCTGACCTTTGCCAAAAAGGCGTCAGTCTTCAACAGCTTGTTTGAGAATGCAGAAGAGGACCTGGCAGACCCAGTGCACTGCAATTCCCTGGAGGGGATCAAGGCCTTGCATGAGGCCCACAACACCTTCCGCCCCTCCCTCAGCTCCACGCAGGCCGACTTCAACCAGCTGCGCAGGACTGCCAGATCAAGAGCTTCTGCGTGGCCTCCAACCCCTATACCTGGTTCACCATGGAGGCCCTGGAGGAACCTGCAGAAGATCATCAAGGAGCATGAGCTGGAGCTGCAGAAGGAACAGCAGTGGCAGGAGGAGAACGACAATTTGCGCCAGGAGTTCACACAGCACGCGAACGCTTTCCACCAGTGGATCCAGGAGACCAGAACCTACCTCCTCGACGGGTCCTGCATGGTGGAAGAATCTGGAACCCTCAAGTCCCAGCCTGAAGCCACCAAGCGCAAGCACCAGGAGATCTGAGCCATGCACAGCCAGCTGAAGAAGATCGAGGATCTGGGGGCCACCATGGAGGAGGCCCTCATCCTGGACAATAAGTACACAGAGCACAGCACCATGGGCCTGGCCCAGCAGTGGGACCAGCTCGACCAGCTGGGCATGCACATGCAGCACAACCTGGAGCAGCAGATCCAGGCCAGGAACACCACAGGTGTGACCGAGGAGGCCCTCAAGGAATTCAGCATGATGTTTAAACACTTTGACAAGGACAAGTCTGGCAGGCTGAACCACCAGGAGTTCAAGTCCTGTCTGTGCTAGCTGGACTACGACCTCTCTATGGTGGAGGAAGGGGAGCCAGACCCCGAGTTCAAGGCAACCCTAGACACAGTAGATCCCAACAGGGACGGCCATGTCTCGCTGCAAGAATACATGGCTTTCATGATAAGTCGTGAGACAGAGAATGTCAAGTCCAGCGAGGAGATTGACAGCGCCTTCCAGGCCCTCAGCTCCGAGGGGAAGCCCTACATGACCAAGGAGGAGTCCTACCAGATCCTGACCAGGGAACAGGTCAATTACTGCATCTCCCACATGAAGCCCTACGTGGACAGCAGGGGCCGTGAGCTGCCTATGGCCTTCGACTACGTGGAGTTCATCCGCTCACTCTTCGTGAACTGACCCCTACCCGCCTGCCCACCGCATGTCCACCCTGCAGACAGTGTCACTCTGTGTACCCGTGAGCCCACTTTGCTTGGTTAAGATGTAGTAGAAACGGTGCTTCAACAGACCGCTTCTGATGCAGCCACAATCACCGCCTTGTTGTGGGGACCCAGACCCAATGGAGCCAGCTGCCCTCATTCCGATGTAGCAGATCCGAAGCAGCTGGCTTGTGCTCCTGTGTTCTCCCCCTACCCCAAATCTTGTTTTCGTGTAAATGACGTTAAATAAAGGACTCCCTCTCCCCCTAAAAAAAAAAAAAGAAACTGAAAATAGAACCCAGAGAATGGGGAAAAGTATTTGTAAATCATAGACCTTATGAAGGACTTCTATCCATAATTTATTCAGAATATGTACAAATCAACAACATAACAAATGTCTCAATTACAAATGGGTGAACTAGCTGAATAGACACTTCTTTCAGGAATATATACAAATGGCCACTATGCAAATGAAAATCCTGTCAACATCATTAATTACCAGGAAATGTAAACCCATACCATTATGCAATGGCAGCTGACAAGCACTAGAATAAATATAATCAAAGAATTAGAAAATAGCAAGTGTTCAGGAGAATGTGGACAGCTTTTTACCCTTATACATCACTGATAGGAATACAGAATAATACTTCACTTGGCAAAATAATTTTTAGTTCCTCCCAAAATTAGGCACAGAATTACCTTATGACCAAACAATTCCACTCCAAGTATATATAAGAGAAATGCAAACACATATATCTTTTTTTTTTTGATACCGAAGATTGAACTTGGGACCTTGTATGTGCCAGGTGGGCACTTATTCCACTGAGCTATATCCCTGGCCCCTAAACATATATGTCTACACAAAAATTTGTACATGAATGTTCACAACAATATCATTTAAAAGAGGCAAAAATAGAAGATTACCAAATGCTCATCAAAAGATAAATGCATAAAATTATGTGGTATGTATGTCTATACAATGGGACATTGTGTAACAATAAAAGAAGAACTACTGACACACATTACAACATGGATGAATCTCACAAATAAGTACTATGTGTGTAGTCACAAATGACTAAATGGTGTTCAATTCTACTTATATGAAGTGCTCAGAATAGGCAAATCCCTTGAGAAAGAAAGTAGACTTGCAGTCAGCATGGATTTGGGGAGGAAGGAATGGAATGGGTAGTGTCATAGTTAATATCTGGGTGTCCCCTAGGAGCCACATGCATTCATAGGCAGAGGTTTTTAAAGGTAAACACACCATGGGGGTACTGTAGCTAACTTGCTGGCAGGAGGTAGGTTCAGGTCACAGAAAGCAGGTCACTGGAAGCACGACCTGGAAGGGTAGATCTCCTTCCCCAGTTCCTCCCTTCTATCCCTGACTTCTGGTCACCATGATGTGAGCTAGCTCTTTCTTTGCTTTCATTCCATCCTGCCTTGAAGCCAGCACACTATGGACTGAAAGCGTGAGCCAAAATCACCCTTTAAGTTGTGGGTGTTGCGTATTGTGTCCTAATAATGAAAAAGGGACTAAAACAGATTTTGGTACCAGAGATGTGGGGTCAATGCTGGGATGCTGTCTGACAATGAGATGTAGAAGCCTTTGGAAATGGTTCGTGCAGGAGGTTGGGAAGGGTCAGAGATGTCAGCTAGAGAAGCAGCCCTTGAATGCTATAAGTTGAGCATGATGGGAGATTCAGATCTCAGGAGACCAGAATACTAAAAAAAAGGCAGACAGAAATGATCAGACTCAAGAGGTCATAGTTCTCGCAAGGGCCTGAGTTCAATCCCCGGTTCCGAAAAAAAAAAAAAAAAAAAAAAGAGGTGATAGTTCTGAACAAGACTATTGGCAGCTGGACTCCAGGTCAAATGTATTATGCTCTGGCAGAAAAATTGTCCGCATTTTTCTCATGCTGTGAGATTTCATAGGAAACCGAGATTAAGGGTAGTGGGCTAATTAATCCCATGAAGGAATTTCAAGGTTGCCAAATGTTTATGTTGTGTCATGGATTCTATTTGTTGCTTTTAAAAAAAATTTACGCTGAGAAACAGGAGCAAAAAACCCATTTAAATATTTTCTTTTAGTTTTTCCAGAAACAAAAGGTTTATAAAATTGGAGCACAGGAAGCTTGGCCCCTAAAATGATTTGCAGTAAAAAGAAAGGCAAGTATTCTGTATCAGGATGTATGCTAGGGTTCACAAGAAGAAAACACCATATATATATATATATATATATATATATATATATATATATATATAATTTATCCATCAGTGACTGCCTACAGAGAGTCAGGTGTGGAAGAATGCAAAAGAACAATTTGCATGCTGGAGAACTGGAGGATCCAAAGATTGAAGACCTGGAGCTCTCTGTAGAGTTCTATGCAAGTACACATTAGGGAGCCAGAGGGTCTGCACTGTAAGGCTGAAGACCAGGTTGGAAGGCTGAAAAGTCTACACTGGAAGATTGAAGACAGATGTCCAAGGTACAAGCCCATTGGTTTGTGCCACCATATACAAGGTGTGGCTTCCTTCATCAGTAATTGCATGATCCAGACACACTCAGAACTGAGTGGAACCAATCAGATACACTTTTATTACTTAAATTGACAACACAATTAACCATCACATAGGAGGACAGAAAAAATGCCTTTCAGGCATCTGCATGGCAAGAAGCAACAAAACCCTCACCTTCATAGGCCCAAAGTTGCAAAAGGGCCATCTAGGCATAGATTCCCTAGGATTTGGTTCACAGTATTCAGCTATGCAGGCACTCAGAGGCCTCTGCAGCCATGATTTAAGGAAGACGCTGCTTGAGCTGGTGGCAGACCTTGTTGTCATTCATGTGGTACTGGTTTTACAGATGCACGGAATGAAAGAGTCTTAGGGTCAAGGAGCCTTCCACCCAGATTTTAGAAGAAGGTCTGGGAGGCCAGCCAACATGTCCTTGAGAGGGCTGCACATGAATCTATGAGAGTGAAGCCAAAAGTGCAGTAAAGACCCCAGAAAGTTAAAGCCAGGAACATGGAATGTTTGCTGAGGAAGGTCACAGGCAGTGAGCAGAGCCTGCCCAACAGAGAAGTTAAGAGGATTACAGCAGGCAATGCCATGAAAGGAGGCCTACTCAAGCCATCTACTGTTCTGATGTCATCACAACTTGTCCCACGTGCTGAACATGGAGTACAGACTTTTCTGTTTTCCCTGCTTGGTTTGGATATTGCTTTGGTAGCATCCCTTTCTGTCCCCCTTCCTCCCTTTTGAAATGTTAATGTTTATCTTATGGCACTGTGTCTTGGTTACTTTTCCACTTGTTACTGGGACAAAATACCCAACACCCAAAATGAAGGAAGGAAAGGATTATTTAGTTCACAGTTACTGGAGGTTTCAGTCCATACTCAGCTGGCTCCAAGGCAGAATGGCACATGGCAGCAGAGAACAGCTAAGAGCAAAGAGAAGGGCAGCAGCTGTAGATTGTAGCAAGCTTCTCTCTCCTCCTTACCTTGTAAACCCTGGGGCTGGGGGTGTAGAACTCACACAATGTCCATGCCCTCCTCTTGCACAGGATGAGGATGTTTACAAACTTAAGAATCCTGGCTCCCTGCTGCGTCACTTAATTAAACTTCTGAAGTTGACACAATGTATCAACCACCACAATCCACCCCTTGTCAACTTGGCAAACAGACATTTCCTTAAACCAGTTTCCAGGTACATAGACAGGCTTATTAACATTTTATAACTTGAACATTGTATTGCACTAGAATCTGACATTTTGCCCCTGGGCACCCCCTCCCCATAGACTCATGAACATCCCTTTGTGAAAAAGGCATTTTAGTCCATTTCTACGAGTTGCCAAAGTCCTAACAGTTTTAGCCTTGCTGAAAAGTCCAAGTCCCAAGCCTCCAAGATCTAAGTCAAACTCTTAGCTGTGAGCCCCTGTAGAAATAAAAAGTTAAACACTTCCAACATTCAAAGACACAGGATAAACATTACCATTCCAAAAGGTATACACAGCAGGATACAAACCCCTGGGGCCAAAACAAGTCCAAAATCCAGAAGGGCAAACATTACCTCCTGTAGTTCCATGGGGAATACCCAATGCAATCTGTAATGAATTGTGAGCACCAAAAACCTTGCATGCCACCCCTATGGCACTTCTGCTGGTAGCTCCTGTGGCTTTTCTCTGGGGCTGACTTTGCTCTCTCCTTAGACAATCCACATTCCTGGCTTTTTACAACTGCTGAGATTTCCATTCAATAGGCTTCTCACTCACAGCTTTACACACTGCCCTCTCAGGGGCACATTGCCTGACCTCCCAGGCCTTCTGAAATCTAGGTGGTGGCCTTCTTAACCTCAGAACTCCTGTATTCTGTATGAGCCTAAAACCAATGCCACATGGATGATGCCAAGGTCTGCTGCCAGATGGAACAATAGCCAGGCTTCCTCCTCTCTTGGCCGTAGCGGTTGAGTGCCTGGATTTCTGAGTGTTCTGACCCTGATTTTGAGAAACAAATTTTCTATGTTGGCGCCATTCTGGAATCTGGTGTGGCCACCACCTCCATTCTGGAACCTGTTGTGGCTGCTGCCTCCATTCTGGAACATGGGGCTCTGCGGATTTCTCCTCAAAGCAAAGTCCCTCATCCTTGAAATTCTGAGGCTGCAAAGGTGAGAACCTGCCACCTCTTGTGATGCCCTCAGGACATCTTTTTTACTCTCCTGTTCCTCCTGGGCAGTGGAGATATCAGCTCTGTCTTTGTATTCTACAGCCATCCTAGCGCTCCCTTTTTGGCCAAACTCACAACATTTTAAAATATTCTTCTGGGCTCTTTGCTCTTGACTCTCAACATAAATCTGGTTAAAAGCCCCCAACAACAGCCACGCCACTGCCTCAATATTTGACTGCCTTGAGATTTCTTTTGCAAGATTAACTAGTCCCCTGTGCTTAACCTCAGTCTCGGGCAAAGTCTCTGAACAGGAGCAAAATGCAGACAAACTTTCTGCCAAGCCATAACACAAATCATCCACAGTCTACCAACCAATACAGTCTTTCTTCCCAGCAGAAACCTCCCCAGCCTGGTCTTCACAGGTCTTTCTGTCAGTTTTCTGGTCTGAGCTCTGACTAGAATTTCCCAAACAGAACAGCAGAAGCTGTTTCAGTGCTTTGCTTGTAGGTGACATCTCCAAACCTTTGCTATCTCTTCCCCAAAACTTGTAGTCCACATGGTCAGGTTTAGCCACAGCAACCACCCATCTCCTCTTGTACCCAATTCT